TGGTATGGATAAGGCATTGATAATTTACAATCGTCTAACTGGTTTTGGCTAAGGATATATTTTTATTACTAATATCTGTCCTGAACGGCTTGTGTGTATTAATATTATTAACTAGGAAGCATGTTTTATGTCACAAAAATATATCTGTAATAATTTGATTTATACATCATGTCTTTGAACTATTTTTCAGATGCTTTTATCCAATATCCAATGACTGAGACATCGTCAATGTAAGTATAATCATGTTAAAAACATGATGCACATTTGATTGATCGTTAGATTGTTTGGTGAACTTAATATTTTTTATTATTGCAAACATAGAATGTAATAAGACCTTTAACTGTTGATTCGGGTTACTCAGTTTAGCTAGGTATTTGAGGAAATAAAGGTTACACAGATATAGTTTTTGTTTTTTTATGTAATATTTTCATCTACATGCTAGAAGGAATCGTAATTTATTAGGCAGGTGTTAAGCAGACAATTTTTTATGTAGTTAAGTATCTAGTGGTAGGTAAAATAATTAATTATGATCAATTTAATTCCACTAGTAAACATTTATATTTAAAGATATACTATGCTCCAATGTGATTTTTAAAAATATTGATAATTGCTACACAGTCTCTTTGTATGTATAAAATAAACATGTTTCGACTTCATTTAAAGTAGATATGTTATGTTTTGAACTGGACACAGTATAGATGGTCACAATATGAATATATAGTGCCATTAATAAAAAACTGGCAGTTTTTTTTCAGAAAAGACCAACTTCACTTGACTTGTAATAGGGAATGCAGCTTCCAACACATAGTCTATTCATTATTTTATTCAAATTAAACATATTCTGTAAGAATTTCATGGATTTCAATACATTTCTAAGATAAAAATATATTTTACCCAAAGATGAGTATAGTATATCTTTAAACTAGTACAATAAAGAGTTGAGTGTAATTAGTTTAATTAACCTGAGATTAGCTAGTCATTTTTTGTCAACATGCAATAGTTTTTATAGATATGACAAACAAAGGAGTTTTTTGCATTTTTTTTTGTTCTCGACACAGTAAATAATTGATTGCACAATTCTTCTTTTTTCTACCAAGACTCGTTCTCGACGGACTACTCTCCCTCGGGTTGGGATGTCCCAATCCTCAATATAATATAATGATAGGTTCCACTATTTTATTGGGATATCATCTTTGTAAACGAGGTATGTAGAATTATTTTTAGAAATGATTATATAAGATGTTTGTTGATACATTAGAAATATGATTACATGTACAAGTATATTTATTTCTAAAATGTTTTAAGAGTTACAGTCGCCAGGAGACTAACATATATGTACATATGCGCTAGGCAATAAAGTAGCAATTAGTTGTCGTCTTATCCTAAATGTAATAATATATCGATTAGTAATTAGTCTAAAAGATTTTAATGAGATCAATTTCACTATTCTTGCTATGAATCACACAGTTTAATTAACTGGTTATTTAACTGCTTAGGAATATATTGTTGTAATGATTCATAATCAATAGTGTTGGATTTATTAGTCAAAAAATATGATGTGAACTCATTTGCCAAACGTTTTCTTATTAAAATTGAAATATTAGGCATCACTTAAAGATGTATTAATATGTTGCAGTGAAATTAGTGCATTTGGTAACGGAAACATTTAGTTTACTTTAAATATTTATTGAAAGGCGTGTCAGAACGATCCAGCTGAACTGTAAAATAGACAGAAATAACTAATGATCCAACTAAGGAACGTCCAAAACGGAAAACTTAAAAAGGTTCCAAGTTTGGTTTGATTAAGGATGTTCTTGCAAGTGTGCTTAACAAACGAGCAAAAAAATCAATACGTGAATGGCATTATTATCAACATATATCAATAATTGTTTCTGGTATCCGGTCACAACACAGTAGATTGTTTACAACTGTGGGAAACATTAGACCAGAAACTCACAAAATCAAGAGACTTGTGACATGTAACGTCTATAAATAATTGGACAAATATCATTAATCATACTCACTTAGAAGCATCAGTATTTACTCCGAATTGGGAACACGAACTGATTTTCTCTGTGAGATTTTCTAGTAAAAGACTGATAAATACAGGCAAGAATCCACATGTCACTAAATGTCATATTACGATACATCTATAACTATACACTCTGTGGTACCGATTTAATTACAATGTCAAATTTTGTTTCTTCTGTATAGGAAATCGAATTATTTCGAATTATTTGGATGATGCCCTGATTTTTTTTGTTTAGTACATGTTCATTAACGTTATTATATGACTTGTACACTTTCCTTTCTCCAGATTTGAGGAAATGGAATTCTATGAAGGGAAGTCACCTGTCAAAATTATGTTAGAAAAAAGCGATTTAATAAAGATTTCTGTTGAAGATTTTGTTCCGAGCATGAGTTTATTGTAGTTTACTTTGACTTTGTTAATGTACAGCCGGAAATGCAACATCAGTATGGTTTATTTTCATTTTTTAAGCTTTGTTTAGCCGCAAATATTACACATGCGAGATAATCTTGAATTACATTTATTTAGTAAAAAGAAAATGATTCAAAAACGTAATATAAAGTTCTATGTGTTACGGGTAGGGTATATAAAGATTCGATTATATTTTTTACCTTGTAAGTTTATTTGTTTTTTTTAACTGATTAATAAAATGTTTGATATACTTAAACATGTCATAATGTCTTACACATGTTCTGCGATGAAACACATAAATTGTTAACTTGATTTGTAACTGCAAGTATACATATGAAAAATATTATTCAAACGTAATGCATTTAAACCTATACACAATAACTTGAATATTATCCCCTTTTAAAGTTATGTTTAAATATATTAACAAATGTCGTGATGTGATTATTAGTAAAGTTTTTACAAAATAACCTCTAGGTTTTTTTTTACTTTGTGTTGAAATACTCCTCAACTCTTAAATGTATAAACAAAAGCATTACAGTGCAATCAATACACATAATTTCAAAATACTTGTTTCTCAAAAATGAAAATTAAAAAAAAACACACAACATGTTTTTCACGAAACTGCTCAAACAAAAGAGCATTACAGACAATAAAAACGTGACATAATTCTCGGCATAAATCACGATTTGGTCTGATGTATGTTTTGCCTTTGGTCTCTGGTGACGACATTTCCTGACTTTTAACGAGTATGGTAATAATACACTGTTACGTTTTATGAGCAGAACGCAATATAATCTATTGAAGTGTATTATTTACCATCTATAAATGACTGAACAAATATCATTTATCATACTAGCTTAAAATCATAAATATTTGCTCCAGATTAGGAGAACGAAGTGGTGTTAGAAAAGTGACGTTTTCAAAACAACTGATTGATTAATAGCTGTGAGAGTTCACATGTCGTGAAATGTCTTATTACGATATATTTATGATTACACTCGAATCAACTAGAACGTCGTTTTGTTTCTTTTGTATCAGAATTCTAATTAAATCGGACCGTTGGCTTCTCGGAAATGTGCATGTTCATTTTCAATATATTAAAGATAATGAACTTCCTAGATGAAACGCAGTGGAATAATAAGTATGTGAGAATGCCCTTAATAACTCTTTAAGTGTTGTGTGATGTCGAGCACTGAAGATGTTTTACAATACAGCTCAGTGCATGCGGGTATGTCCTTCGGGTTATCACAACGTTTGTGTTTTTCCTTTTTGTTTTTGTTTTTTTTTTTCTTTTTTTCTTCATCTTTTACTTATTTATTATTATTTGTTTGTGTTTGGGTAAGATTTAATAAATAACATCTCAAACAACATTTTTTCTTATTATCTTATGCTTAAATAAAAGTCAAAATTTTGAAATGAAATATTAATGAATATTAACTTGAATATCAAAATGTGCTTCCCCACTCAATTTCAAACGAATTTCTCATAAATACATGAAGTCTTGGGCTAATATACTTTAATATGTTATTTCTCCGTCTAGGTATATATGTATTACTTGAAATCTAAATACAACCAAAGTAACTGTTATCTACCTAAAGGTCGACAACAAACAGTCAAATAAAAAAACACTTAAAATAAAAAAGGAGAAAGTTGTTTCTTCATTACAATAAAAATAAAAATATCTCAGGGAGACACATAGTCAAGCTTTTTTGTATATTTGGTTCAATTGATAAAAGTATCTTAATATGCATAAGGTTTATATATCTATTACACATCCTACAATGATTATGTGTTACGCAACGTGAAGCTTGCTTTTCGTGGAGGTCCTTTGAATATTCAGCAGAGCTTTTATCTAAAGACATTCTGCGTCGCATGCATTTAATTAATTTAAACCTAAATGTAAAACGGAGAGAAAGATGAAATTTGGGGAAACGTTTAGAAGGAAATGAAATCAATTCCTTCCTTAATAATATTCTATCCTGATACAGTATTTTATGATTTTTGCTTAAATTTGTGTCCTTGCCAATGTAATAAAGCTCGTTTACAAAGAAGGTGCGTTTCATTAGATCACATATTGCTAGTTTGTTAGCTGAATCGTCAATAACTTTACATTTCTTACATATTATATCCTTTTCTTCAGTTATTTTATCAAATGTTAAGTTCCATAAATTTACAGGAGGTTGGTATATACAATATAGTTTACGAGATATATCTTGCATTTTTTTATTTAGAATGGTTGTATATTGAGACATTCATAAATCTCTAGTCTTCTGTGCATCATGTACATTATCTAAAATATCGTGACTTAAGTAGTTTGTTTTCAAAAGAAAATATTTCCGCTTCCTTTTGTTCAACTGTCACGAAAATGGCATAATATATCAAATGAAGACAAAAAAAATACAAATCATGTTTTAGTTTATTGCAATAAAGTTATTGATATGTTTATAGTCAAAAGCAGATGTTAGTTTTCATAAAGGGAATTTCCAGGGATATATTTTTAAAAAGAGCATGTGTAAAATAATGTGATGTGTGACCTGATGCTTTCTTGTTACGATACATCATGTTGTATTTGATAAGTAGATATACTGTAATACTGAGCCAAACCATGGCGAGAGCTGAGTAAACCTATTTACATCGCACCTGTGTCCAAATAATTAGTTTAATATTGTAGTCCCCTAAATTGGGGAACGTATCGGATATCAATCTTATAAGAACAGATAGATATACTTTGATCCTATTCAAGGCTGAGAAGCGATGTTTAAGTGTATAAGTTATAAATCACAAATTGTTCAAGAATATTGTAAGATTAATAATTTAAAGTAAATATCATATGAGTAAATAAACAAAGAAAGAAACGATCGACAAGGGAGAAAGTTTCATATGACTACTAGTACAGAAAATCTATGTCAAAAAAGCGGAGAAGCGATATGTGGTAAAAATATCAACATTTCCGTGTTAAATGTTGACATGAACAGGCTCAATCAAACCGAGCCTGCAACATATTTAATTTTGTTGTGTTGAACTTTTTTAGGGATTCTGTTTTTCTCTATTTTAATTATAAAACACGAAATTTATAATAATATCGGAAGATAAATCATCAAGAATGAATATCATGTTAACTTCAAATTATGAAAAATAAGATCAACAAAGGATATTTATATATATACTAGTACAATATATTTGTTGGAAATATAAATATTATTACAATGCTTTCATTGTCGTCAAAATTTATTTATAACCTTAGAGTTATTTTATAACCCTAAATGGAAATACATAATAATATATATTTTCATTAAATTCATTAAAAGTTGTTGTTTTCATGAAACATCCGGGTATTGTATGAAACAATAATCAACTGTTATTACATAGTGGAAGACATTGTTGTTGGCTGGAGGGACTATACACAAAATGATACCTATGTGTATAAGTATTATAATTTTCATAGGAAACAGTCATAAGCATGTGTATTAACTAAAACGAATATCTTATTTCTACATAGTTATATCAAACTAATATGAAACATAAAATAAATAGGACTGATAATTTCTTGAATTTTTAAAGTAACAAAGTGTTAATTTAAGATGTCATAGATTTTATCATGTAAGTCAACATCCTTAAAATAGGAAAATCGATACCTTTATTTGCCATTAAAACGAACATAAGTACTATTAATTACTATAATTACTAATTTCTTTCATTAAATAATATTAGGTTACAAATGCAATCATCATTACAAAAAATATTAATTGCTGTTATTACTGTTAATTAACTTTGATCTATCTCATTTCTGCCCGATATACTTTCTTTACTGTATATTTATTCTAATAGCATTTTGAGTTTTCTTTCATGAAATCTCAATATTGAAAAAGATGTTATCCACAAGATTACGTTCGGCAATGTTTGGTGATAAAATAGAATACTAAGATATTTTATTGACCTAAAGATAAAGCACCTAAAATGGTTAATTAAATAAAATACAGGAGTACAGTTTCAAGGTTTTTCATACAGTTTTGGACAAGATGAACTGAGCAAACATCTATGGATAATATAGAATTTGATTAAAAGTTTGCTAAAATATTAGTCCATTCAAAAACCATTATTAATTTCAAAGCGAAAAGTCATTCTCGAAAGTATTCATTTTGTCGCTTGTAAATTATCAAAGTGTCAAATTATTTTTTTCATGACTATTTATATCTTCATCAAACAGGACAAATATATGACGAAAAGGAAAATAGCCCAGAAAAAAAATCACAAGTCAAAACTATTTACAGCCAATTGTTGTTCACACACATGACGTCAATGTTGACCGTTTTGTTAGCAATTTTCAAGACGGTACTCTATAGAAGAAGAATTCGGATCTTCTTGCCTCTAGCGTACTAACAAAAAGTTGTTTTTGACTATGTTTGAACATGAACATTTATGTAATTTTTCCGTTTATAGATCCTACGTCCTACACATCTTAATTTCAAATTAAAATCACATTTTAAGAAACCTTAATAGTTATGAAAACATAAAGTTATATTTAGGAGTTGCTGGTGTAAAGAAAACATTAACTAATGTACGGGCTTTTATTATTTTAGCGGTAAACATTTATAAGTGATTTAAAGTAAGAAGCAAGCTCTCAAACAAATACAAGTTAAATGTAAAATTAATGACGAAATACAGCATTTACCGGTATTTTTTTTATTCATTCATTTTTTTATCGTTTAATTGCAAATTGCTATAAAGACAACTCAATATGCAGACATATAACACCGCTTCTTCAATATTGTGTACTTCCGTCTACCAGAACTGAAAATTATGACGTGTATTGTGACGCTATGTTTGCGCAAATACATTAACATGTAGGTTACACGCAAGACGTGTTTGTAAGCACATACCATCTTAACCTTGATCCTTCATAGCCTTAAATAATCATACAAAATCTCAAGATTTTTAAAGTACAGTTTCATGTGTTACATTACGACAAAGCAATAAATCAAAAGTGTTTTTTTCCAGACAAAACAAAGTGAAGTGTATGTATTTCCTTACGGTTTCCTTGTTCAAGTTTCACCGAGTATTTTAAAGTACATTTGTATATCGTTTTAAATCTTGCAGTTGATTTTGTCATTGATCTCCCATGAGGCATATTTCCCTATCCGTGAATAATTCATATAGATGAGGAACGCAAGCAGATTTTTTCTTTCAATAAATAAATATCTCAAAACTGCTATCATAAAAGCATTATTGCACGTTGTTCCGTCCGAATTTATACTTTAAATTAAGGTTAGAATGCATACCGTTTCCAAAGCATAAAAGTACACGTATATATATCAGAAGGCTGCGACACCAGTTTCCGTTTTCCTTTAAGTTAATAAAAGACTCAATGTAGGCAAATAGAAAACTGGAACGACTTTTAATATAACAAACGAACAATGGTTACTATCAATTATGTTGGATGCCTATCATCAATAAGAAAGTAATGGATTTTAATGTCTGTCTGACTTTAACAATGACGTAGACATACGATATGCTGTTCTTGGATGTACTTTTTGTTCAATTGTACTTAGCTTGCATTTTTTGAACAAGGATGTCTTCGACCTTAGAATCTTCTAGTGGCCGGCGTTACTGCTTTTGGAAAATACTTTATATGTTTTTGTTAATAAATATCTTAATCGTTTGTCTGAATTATCTGATTACATGTATAAGTACAGAAAGAATGTAAATTATTTGTTAAAGATTACTAAACTTGACAAACTGTAACGGTGGTTTGAAGAATGTTTTACACATTCAAATGAAATGAAAATTATCATAATGAACGAATAAACATATCATCACCATAACATATCATCACCATAACATATCATCACCATAACATATCATCGCATGTAGCAAGAGATCTGATAACAAGTGACATGAAAGTTGCCGGTGTTTCAGTAAATGCTCCATCCATGAACAATAGAATGACAATTGTAGTACACAAAAATGGAGTTTCTTTTATTTCTCTCACACCCATTGCACCCAATTTAGCGATATTTAAGAGCGTTATTCAACCTTTAGAATCAACAATCCCGAGGGTGCAGACATATATAACAACGCCGATATGATGTTTGATGCCACTTTTTACAGCTGCGATAGAGAATTTAAGCTTGCAGAACACAGAAGTATTTTGTACATTCTATTTGAACTTTTAAGGATCAATACCCTTTAAGAAATTAAACCAGGAATGTCATTTAAATGATGTTCCGTTTTAAGTTAATTACTTTCGTGAAATAGTTGACATTTGTGTGGCAAAGTTAAATGCCAGGTTAGCCAATTTAGTGCCAGATGAATATTTTATGTCACTTTTATTCCTAAAACTAATTTAGAACTCTGGTAATTGTATTATGACTAATCAATGCAAATTTCTGATTGCAAAGTGAACAATTGTGTTGTGATTCTTTAAATGAAAACGATTATTTTTTATTCATCATATTATTGTAAGAGTAAAAACCATTTCTGGAACCTTTTGTGAATAAAACACTCAGTTTTAAACAAGTATTTATATGAGTCGCCTGGCAATAAACATGCTAATAATAATACTAAAAAGATTAAATCAAAGTTCTTTATCAAATCACAATCTCAGGAAACCAGTTTTGAAATTATTCATTCATAATGATGATGGTACGATTAAGCAACATGTAGTTTGAGAAATCATTTGTCGCCTCCAGACATGATTCCAAATGACTTACAGTTAAATAACTACGAAATCGTCGTGAATGTATAGAAGACGAAATAAATTGCTATATTTACTAAAATCTTTACTTTCTGGTATGCACATCCTAATGTTTGGTACAGACATAAAATAAAAATAAAAGTTTGTAACATGAGAAAGTGAACATATCAATATGCTGCTCCGCACACATACCAGTGCTAATTAAAAGAGAATACCAATGTCCACCGAAACAATACAATCAACTATAGATTAGGGGTAGTCCATGTTGGTCCGTGTATACTTCTATAGCTTATTTCTTTAATTGTTTTATTCAATGACCACGATTAACCGACTATCTGACCTGTTCTTTCTCTGAAACATTTTTCCTTTCTTCATGGAATAGTCCTTAGTTAAAAGAGGACATCTCAGAATATTATGTTTACATTTTTATCTATTATGAAAGTAATATCAGATTATCCTCGAATCTTTTGACGATTACTAGCTTTATATAGTAACCATATGATAGTTTTACTTATTGCACATTGTGTTTCGACAAAATTCGTAAGAAATCATCCTTCGATATGTTTAGTGCAAAAAACCTTAGGCTTTCTTTTCAGCAAAACAAAACAAAAACAAAAACAGATACATGTACTTACAACAAATAGGCTTTCTAAAATGTTCTTACCACATATTGCTATGACAATGTAGCCCGAACGAAATTTTCACAATAAGCTTAATATCCTTTATCGTTAAGCAAGCTAAAATAGAGAAACATAGAATCCTCAAAGAGCGCCAAATATTAAAGTAGTCCTACTTGCAGGAACTTTATTTAAAACAGGTTTAGATATTAATGCACAATCCGCATGAAATACATTTATTCAGTAAAACGAAGATTATTATGAAAACTAATATAAGCTCTGCATGTAAGATATATTAAGAATCAGTAATATTTTACACATTGCTAGTTTGATGTAAGTAATATTTAGTGATTAACAAAATATTCAATACATATGTATTTAAAGATACTTATTATGCATTACACGTGATCTGCAAAGTATTACTGAGTTATACATGTCTATCCCG